CGCTGTACCAAAAACGCAGAAGTGTCATGAATAGAGACTACCACCATTCGATGGAGGTCACTTTGGACTATATATCCTGTAATTTTTGTGCATATTGGTGAGTTCTTTTTTGTTGACTTTGGCCGTATGACCAAAAATATCAAATTTTCGAACCCGCGTACAAACGATTTGGGAAGGCGTCATGGGTAGGCACTTGACCAAAAACTGCCCCAGGGCCTTGCAAACGTGTCACCAAAAGATGAAAGAGAACGGTGATGTACTTTGGGAGTTATTGGCCTTTAAGTCAGGCAGAGTTAACTGTTAACATTAGCGAGATAGGCATTTGAAAATAAAAATGGCCCCTGTACCAAAAACGCAGAAGTGTCATGAATAGTGACTACCACCATTCGATGGAGGCTGCTTTGGACGATATATCCTGTAATTGTGGTGTATATTGGTGAGTTTTTTGATGACATGCCACTATATGACCTTGAATGACCTTCAAAAGGAAAACAGGCATATCTCGTAAACTATTGAGTGTCATGTATTGGGATATATATTTTCAGAATCAGGGCTTTCCTGGCTACACGATGGTAGCCAAAACTTTGCATTTGGTGAGTTTTTTTGAATGTGCATTTGAAAGTGAATCTGAATATCATAGCACTTGCTGCACGTATTAACTCGCGACCCGTTGGGGGGGGGGGGCAAAGGCCCCCTGTGGTTTTTGGCAAATACTCAGAAACGGCTGCGAATTTCGACTTGAAACTTTCAGTTACACTTAGGACATTATTCCTACACATATCCTTTAAAAACTAGGTCCCAGGTTGTCTCAGGTCACGAGTTATAGAGGTCAAACTGAGGTCATGTTAGCCATTTCCCGTCGAAAAAGTTGTTCACGGAGGGAAATCGCAAAAAAACTGACTTTCAATTTAGCGAGTCAAAAACCTAAGGTACATACCTAAGGCACCTAAGGTACATAAAAGCATAGCAAAAAATTATATCTCGAATTCTGAAAAACATAAAAATATCAAAATCTAGAGATTTTCTAACTCTAACTAAAATTTAGACTTCTTGAGATATTTTTTCCAATTTGAAGAAATTAAAAAAAAAATACGGAAAACATGTCAGAGAAATCCTTACTGGCCTATCTCAAGCCGAAAAATCAACAAAATATCTCTAAAACTGCCAGAGATATAGCCGTTTGAATGACTAAAAAATAGCAACTTCTTATGACGTCAGTGTTTTCAGTATTCAGTTGTGCTTAAAATCAGTCTAGGGTAATATGTATGATATATATTCACCTCTTCCTGACTGAAAACGATCTTTTATAAATGACCGTTAATGTGTCACGCACCTGTACCCATTTATCGGTGGTCGGCGCCGACCTGTACCCATTTATCGGTGGTCGGCGCCGACCTGTAGGTACCCATTTATCGGTGGTCACTGGTCGGCGCCGCGCGCTGTACCCATTTATCGGTGGTCGGCGCCGCGCGCTGGGTGGACTCGCAGCGGGAGCGCTCATCTCCCGCCCATATGACGTCACGCTCTGCGCGGCGAGCGGCCGCGCGACGCGTCAGTACGAACCGAGCAATCATATGATTATATATGTTGTTGTTGAGTTGGGACAGATTCATTTGGTAGAAGATTGTTTGACACCAGCTTTAGGTTTTTATTGGTAGCTTTCGGAAGCGTTACAGCTTCCTTCGTCAGCCTTGGATATGTCGAGTGCAGGTGCACTTCATCCGATCTCCCACCTCGAGGAGTCTGAGTGGCTGCGGGGTTAATGACCCCAGCATCCGGCGTCGCACGCGCTGCGCGTGCAGTGCGCGTGCGGCGCGAGTTCTTAGCTTAGAAAACACAGACGCCGAGAGACCACGGCGACGGCTGGACGTCGGACCCTTGCTCTGAGGGTACTGCTGGCCCAGGCTGATAGGTCCGACCCCCGCCGAACTTAGTTGGTAGCACTGCTGCTCCACGGCGTACATTTCCTACCAGCCCATAGGGTTTACATGTTAAATGGCCTGTTTTCGGTGAGCGATATCTCGGTCAACCTTTGAAGGAATCAATGGTTCTTAGTCTCAAATGATAGATCGATGAATTTTCTTTCGACAATTCCTCTACCATTTTTCACGAAACCCAGCCGATCTTCTACGGCGTACAGGGTAAAGATTTCTCTGCACGCCAGCACCCGCGATCCGCCTCTCTGATCGTCGGCGCGTGGTCCTCGGTAGCGCAGTCGGTAGCGTATCGGGCTACGGATCCGAGGGTCGTGAGTTCGAATCCTGGGAGCGTCGCGTGGTTTTGGTTAGAATTGAATGATGTAGATTCTAGAATGTTTGCATAATCAATTATTAATAGCTAAATGAATGTATATGCCCACTATTCGGCCCCTAAAGCCTGTTATTTAAGAAATTTAAGAAATGAATGTCACGTGCGCGTCACAACTGCCAACCATAAGCGCTACCATCTTCTAGTTTGAACTAACTTTTTGCTAGTCCCGACCACATATAGTAGGTTTTCTAGCAGTTATACTAGAAATTCCTACCAAAGTTCGTCCTACCCTGTGCTGACGGCGCATGATTATGTTAGTCACGCGCCTGTTATATTTAAAGGTTAAGAATTGGATGAGAGAATAAAATCAGTACGCTCTGGAACCAAATTGTTTTTGTTTCTCTTTTATTCAGCTAGGTATTTTATAGTTAGATTTCCTCGATTTAAATTATACTATAAGCTGTTTCGGCCCTCTAATATAATGGAGAACGTGAAGGCTGAAGAGAGACGACGTGATAATGCGAACGAACGACGAGAGGGTAACGAAGAGAACCGCAACGGCGAAATGACCACGGAGCTCAACACCCCAGGCCCACAAGATGCCCAAGTGATGGCTGCCATTTCGATTCCATTTGATATTCGTTTGGTGCCTGAGTTTGACGGCACAACGGATGTGGTAGAATGGTTCACGCGGGCCACTCTCTTGTGCGAGATGAGACGGGTGGACTTGATGTCTGTGTTACCGTTGCGGCTCGCAGGCGGTGCGTTCGCTGTATGGTCTCAACTTCCAGCCAGAGATCGCTCCTCATTACTTGCGGTACGGTCGGCTCTTTACGCCGCCTTTGCTTTGGATCAGTTTGCTGCATACGAAGCATTTTCCGACCGGAAACTGAAGCCTGGAGAGTCGCCCGATGTATATTTGTCAGACCTCCGCCGTCTGGCGGCGCTTTTTGGTGGTGCCTCCGACCAAATTCTGTTGTGCGCGTTTGTAGCTGGTCTACCAGATTCGGTGCGGCAAATGATTAGAGCTGGAAGTCGCGCGGAGAGCCTCGACCTGAACAGTGCACTGACTCGCGTCCGCTCGGTGCTTCATGACGACCGTAACGTCACTGCGGCGACAACGGCAGCGGTGCTGCGCGGAAGACGAGAATTTCGCCGTCGTCCCTGGCGTGGAATACGCCGATGTTGGACGTGTGGGTCTCCAGAACACATGGCACCGCAATGTCCGTCAAGGAACTCGGGAAACGGAAATGGGGGCGTCGCTTTAGCGCCGGCGTCGTCTCGCGAGCAGTAACAGGCGGCGCTCTCCCTGTCACACGACTTCTTGTTGACGGACAAGAACGGATGGTGCTGGTGGATACGGCAAGTACGGATAATATACTATACAGCGGCTGCTGCACAGCCTATCGCACACGGAGAACAGTTGTAAGAACCATGAGCGGGGACCCATTCACCTGTTGCGGTGTCAGCACTGTAGAGGTGCGAGTTTCGACTGGAGTCAAAGCCCAGGTAGGCGTGCTAGCAGGCTGGCACGGTCCGCCGACATCAAAACAACGGTGCGTCAGCTGATTATTGGTCCTCCGATTCAGGAGAAATTATTAACGCGGGAACGCCGGCGCTAAATAAAAGCGGTAGGATTCACGGCTTCGCATGATCGTGTGCAATGTTTTTTTATAGTATCAAGCGAGGGGTATTGCCGGAGTTTTGCAAATAAAGATTTTGCTCTAAGTTTCGCTATGCGATCGTGAACACTTTATTTTCATAGATACGATATGAAATAGGATAAACAGGCAATACCATAGGCCAACCCAAGGCTATGTAGGCCAACCTTAGACTTCGCATAGCCATGGACATTGCGAAGGAAGGTACTCGCCGATCGTACCACGATACCACGGGCAAGATATCAGACTTTTGGGAGTTTTGTGTCGCTGGAATGTATTCTAAGTGCTAAGAAGGAAAATAATTCAATTAAATGATGTCATGGACAATGGACATGCCATTCCAAGCATATATTTGCCTGGCTTCGACAACCAGATAGCCAGGCTTTTTTCACGAGCTTCTAAAGAGGTAGTGGATTTAATATCGTTTCTATTACATTTGATTGATAATCCTACATATCAGTAAAGCTGCCACGTTATCATTCTCGGCGAGCGATTACCGGCACATCGTACCAATGCCAATGCAGCGTCGAGCGTCCGATGGTTTACGATAGGAATTATAACAATAGTTTTAAACTAGCGCTTTTTAGAACCATGGACCGAAATGGTAATTCAAAGAACCTCTTCCCCTTTCAACTCACCTGAAAAAGCTGCTTTCGTGTACCACCCAGCAACCGTTTCGTAGATATATCAAAATGATAACTGGAGGCGAAGATTATCCTCGGCCGTGCCCATTTTGGAACCAACCCTGAGAGGCATAACTAGGCGGCGGAACGGGCCGGGTGGCGGGCACCGGGGCACCGTGCCCCCTTTACTTTTGGCATTTTAACATTAGCCCTATGGGCGTTGCACGGAAAGAATGGGACCAAAAGTCGGCAGTGCCCCCCCCCCCCCTTCCCTTAATTGAAGGTGTTCTGCCGCTACTGCTGAGAGGCCGTGGAAAATCGCATTAAAATCAATGCCTATTTTATGATCTACCACGATTCGAGGGGCTGACTAGTACCGACGGGGATCCCACAAACACGACGGTCACATTAATTAAGCATGATGTAGGTACGGCGTAAAGCACCACAACTCACTCCAAAAGCGCAACCTTCTGAGATATCTTATATTTAGTTTCAATGCTGGTGGTACTGGTCAGTTTCAATGCTGGTACGGGGACCAGCAGTTGCTACTGTACACGAATCCCTTGTCTAGCCGTCTGTCCTGTCCAGTAACAACCGATAACATTGATATCGACAACCGGTCCCTGTACATAATAAAAACATAAAACATTGGGACACAAACAACTGGAAACTGTTGGTACTTTCGCGCATAGGCGGCGGAACGGGGAGGGCACCGGGGCACCGTGCCCCCCTTTGATTTTGGCATTTTAACATGGGCTCTATTGGCGTTACATGGAAAGAATGGGATCAAAAGTCGGCAGTGCCTCCCCCCTTCCCCTTAATTGAAGGTGTTCCGCCGCTACTGCTTTCGCGTACGCAATACAACGACGCTGGCAATCAACAAGTTGCAACATACGCCCGAGATAATAAGTTTCAGATAACAACGCCGGCCAAGAGGTGCGCCGTCCGAAGGCTCCAGTTGAGCTGGGCGCAGGTACTAAATACGGAAATCCTACATTCATCTCGCCGCATTCAAGCGCACCAATCGAAAGACGACAGCGTGACCGCGCTGACAGGCAATCAACCTGGCCACATAAAACTAGCTAGTGCAAGGAAGATGTCTATATAAACCACTGGACCATGCAAACTGTTCATGTAAATAAAATACGAGCAAAGATGACGCGTTTGAGGGCAGACTGGCCAAACAGTGACGATACACGTGGATCTCAACACTGCACAACCCATTCATCAAAAAAGATCTCGTGGATCCCTATATACGTCATAACTGACCCCAGTACGAGGGTATATAGCCATGGACGTAAATGGCCGGCTTAAGGCACAGGATCCCAATTGTCATCCCCATTACGTGGTCCCCAGAAGTCGCCAGGCCGAGAGCCAATGGCAGTTAAGCACATCTTACACGTGCCGACAAAGGTGACACAATGAATCAAATAATGAGTCCGTTAATAAGCCTGCCTAATTTTGCATGTAGACTGCTATTTACCACCACGGCGGAAGGCTAAAACGCATCCATACAGCTCAACATAGGTGTCAATTTCCGCCGGGTTGGGGGTGCTCAAGCTCTCTAAATTCCCCTCCGGCTCGGCTGGCTTGGCTTTGGAGCCCCAACAGACGGTGCGGGTCAAGGTCACCGCTAAGGCGGCGGCGGATTTGCTGCGCCCGGGCAGTGGGCACTGGGCAGCCTCAATTCGGTGAAAATCGACACCCATGCAGGTCAACATGACAAAACGCTGCATACAAGCGCACGTCCTCGCATTTAATTGACGCATTTAACTGCGTCACTAACCTTGTACACTGTACAACACTGGTGAGATGACTGTCCGAAGGAAACTGCCGACTTTGGCTGGCAACATTCAGGGTTAGTGACTTATGTACTGAGTTCGGCTGGCTGACAGCGATGTGACTTCAAGACCGGTTGATGAACGGGCCATCCTAGCCCCATACTACAGGAGCCCAGCTGGTCTTGGCGAGCGGCGGCGACTGGACGAGGCTGGACCCCTACTACAGGAGCCCAGCTGGTGCTGACGAGCGGCGGTTACTGGACGAACGGGTCAGCCTGGACCCCTATTGCAGGAGTCCGGCAGGTCTTGGCGAGCGGCGACGACTGGACGAGGCTGGAGTCCTACTGCAGGAGTCGAGCTGGTCCTGTCGAGGAAATAGTTCACCTTTAACATGGAATTTTAAACTGAGATAGCAGTCTGATAGAGCAGATTTGCGTATGCCTTATATTTGAAAATTGAACCGTTTGAGATATTCAACTTTTATCAGTGAGTATTGGTGCTTAAATTCATGTTCTAGTGCTCATTTACAGCTAGCAGAAACCTCTTCAACACACAGTGGCCAATCAGCGATGAGAGCACTTACAGGAGCAGAATCCCTTGCAGCTGATAGGTTGTTCAGCTGTTAGTGTTCATAACTTTAATCATTAAAATAATGAAATCCCTTTAGAAGAAGTGTGTAATTCCAAGTCAGAATGCATTTAAATTTTATTCATCACATTTTTAACACATCTTTTTAAATTCTATTCATCAAATTATTCACAGAAGGTGAACAATTTCTTTTAACACTTACCTTGCTTCAATGGTGACATGTAGTTCTTGCAGCAGAGAAGGCACAGCATTTGGCTGCAACTTCAAATATTTACTTGTTGCTATCAATTATTCAGTTTTGAAATGCATACAGGTACAGCGAATCTTGGGTTCTCCTGTAAGAATGCCGACGTCACCGCAGAAGTTCATCCAGAGCTTGCGCCTGAAAAAGGGCCAGGTTTAATATATGAGTGAAATGAAGACTTTTGCATCATTTTATTATTATACCATAATCACATTTTGCCTAATTTGTAAGAAATAGGTTTAGGTTAGCAGAAATAGGTAAGGTTTTGACTAGACCCCCTGAATCACAACAGGGGATGACACCCATGATTGGTGGGACCACCTATCACCTATCAGCCCGAGAGCACACTAAATTGCATGTCAAAGCTCCATTAATGCTTTTTTTTCAATTTTTGCCGTCCATTTTGTTGGGTCCATCATGTCCATCACCAAGCCACATTTAAAATGCACTACACTACATCCCCCACCACCTGACCACACCAGGCCAAAGCCGCACCGCGCTACACAAAATCCGCACTGCATCAAGCTAAATCCACGCTACACCAAACCCTCACCAGCCGGACAAGCCAGCACAGATGAGATCTTGTCGAAATTGCCATGCTTTGCAGAGTGCATACTGGCCTACCTCAACCTCACCTTACCCAACATATGAGCCTGACTGTCCTAAGCACTGGGAGCTCATTGAGACCAGGCCCCACAGGCCCAGTGGCCTCCTAAAATCTGATTTCCATATGGCAAGGTGAGCTAGGTATTTAAGAATGGTGATCGGATATCGAATGCGAGACAAGACAGCAATGGGCAGTGGGCGGTTCATGCAACAATAATCATGTTTCCTTACCACAAGTATCAAAGCAAAAGCAAAAATGGCTACCTATCGAATTCAAATTTCACTGGAACCTCACCTGCATGGATCTTAAGTGAAAGGTACATCTTGTCTTGATATCTACATCTGCACGAAAGATACATCTTGATCCACTCATTTCAATCTTGTTTTTCTGCATCCAGGGCATGCAACACTTCTGGTATTTTTGGCACAACTTACTCGACTGCTGAGCTCAAATGCAAATTGCAATCACGGTCATAAAATACCTACTGAATATTGAATCGCAATGTATATTCAGTCGATGTACCCCTCGTTCGATGTCTCTCGGACGACGAAGATTGTACGTCGTCCGGCCAATCCCGTTCTAGGTCAACTGCGATTGTGGAACTCGGCTGCGATTATGGAATATGATTGGCCAAACGGCGTAGGATCTTTGTCGTCCGAGAGACATCGAACAAAAGTAATGTCGCTACTGCGCCATTTGTTGCATCGAATTCGCCCCATAGAAGCACGTGTTAACTCTCTCCCATAGGGCCCTGGGTAAACTCATGTACACAACCTCCATAGGGTCCTGGGTAAACTCTCCCCTTGTCTATTTTCTTTAAACGGGAATGGTTTGGACAGAAAAATATTTCCCACCTCATAAAAAATAAAACTTAATTTTTGATGTACTATATTCATGAAACACATAAAAAACCAAAAGAAACTATTTCAAAGAAACCGATTGTTTAAAAAAGGACAGCTGACGGCATGCCTCCCGTGTCCCCTGGCTTGAAGCTTCGGCTCCGTGTTACCTTAGTATTCTATGACCGTGCGTGCTAGTAGTAGATCGGCCCCCCTCAGGATTGGATATGATCTTGGGGATGTCTGGCATATCAGCACTGGGTGGGGTTTATGTGCTGACGTCTTCAGAACTGCGCTTCTGTGGAACAATGGAGTCACAGTCGGAAGCAAACAGGGACGTCGACACCGGTCCGACTTTTCCGACTAGTCGGACCACTTTTTCGACTAGGCGGTGCCCTGCTGTGGCTCGCGGGGGCCCTGCTGCTGCGACCGCGGGAGCCCCTGCTGTGGCCGCGGGGGCCCCTGTTGGGGCTCTCGGGGGCCCAGCTGCAGCCACGGGGGCCCCTGCTGCGGCTCGCGGGGCCCCCGTTGGGGCTCTCGGGGGCCCTGCTGCGGCCACGGGGGCCCCTGCTGCGGCTCGAGCCCCCCCCCCCCCTGCTACAGAATTCGGGGGCCCTGCTGCGCCTCTGGGGCCCTGCTGCGCCTCTGGGGCCCTGCTAAACACCGCGGGGGCCTGCTGCGGCCCGCGGGGGCCTGCTGCGGCCCGCGGGGGCCCTGCTGCAGCCCGCGGGGCCCTGCTGCGGCCGCGGGGGCCCCTGTTGGGCTCTCGGGGGCCCTGCTGCGGCCACGGGGGCCCCTGCTGCGGCCACGAGGGGCCCGCTGCGGCTCGCGGGGGCCCTGCTGCGGCTCGGGGGGCCCTTGCTACAGAATGCGGGGCCCATGCTGCGCCTCTGGGGCCCTGCTAGACACCGCGGGGCCCTGCTGCGGCCGCGGGAGCCCCTGCTGCGGCTGCTGCGGATGGCGGGGGCCCTTCTACAGACCTTGGGGCCCTTCTGTAGCTTGAGGGTGCCCTGCTTCGGCACGTGAGGCCCTGCCTCGCCACGTTTGGGCCCATGGTTCGCCAGGGCCCTTCTGCGGCCCGTGGGGCCCCTAGTCTTGCAGACCGCGGGGCCTACTGTGGCTGGCGGGGAACCTGCTGCAGACCGCGTGAGGCCCTACTGCGACCCGCAAGGACCCTGTTGTGGCCCGCGAGACAAAACTGCAACTCAAGGGGCCCCCTGCTACGGCTCACCGGGGCCCTGCTGTAGGGGGGGGGGGTTGCTGCGGCCTATGGGCCCTTCTGCGGCACACGAGGACCCTGCTGCGGCCCACGTATTGGGTTTCTCACAAAGTGACATCAAAGCTTCCCTGGCCGGGGGCTGCCCCCTCCCCACTTTTCGTGACGTTCCTACACCCGTGGTCGACGGTATCAAGATAATTCCCTGTGCCGAAAAGGATAACATATAGTGTCACTACTCTAAAACAATGTATTAAAAAAAATGTCGACTTTAAAAACAAGAGTAATTTTCAACATTGGTTTAAAAATTAACAAAAGGATCATGTATTGAATGACAATGATTAAAATCATCTTCGAATAATATAACCTAGTTATATCATTTAATAAATATTTATTAAGCCAAATATAACGTAAGTACATATATATGACTGAGAAAACCAAATTATATGTTTACACATAAATATTATTCTTGCTATGTAAAGAGGGAAGCAGAACTGAGTTGATCCCTGTTGCCCACGTGAGTCAACTCGGCCGACTTGGCGCAGGTTCAGAGTGCTGCGAGTGCCTTTTAACCTATAATTTCTGTTGATTTCCTTGAATTGTATAATTTCGAAACCATGAGTGGTCGTTCGAGCAAAAGAGCTTACACATCTGGGTGTCAGAAACGAAAGCGGAAGATGCTACGAGAATTCAAAGACATTCGAAGAAACTCTCCTCATATTTTCGGCCCAGTGCACAGTGGGGATTTTTCCGATCTAGCACGTCTTTATTCGTAGAGGGCAAACCATAGGTAATATTGTAGCCAGGTTGTGCACAGATGTTGGCTGGTGTGTTCTGGTGAGAATTTTACCTGTAAATGTGCATAGTCAACATAGTATAGGGGGTTCAATTGGACCCCCGGCTCAGCCGTTTGGCCCCTGATCAAGCTAGAGCTTCGCGGAAAAATCAAGCGTGCTGCCTATGACGAAATGAGGCCGAATATATCCAATTTCAAAGTTCAAGGCCATTAGTTGACTTTCCAAGTCAGTTTAATGACCCAACTAAAGTTGGGAAATCGAGACCTCTTGAAACTTCGCATAGTTAGGGTGTTACGGGGTATTTTGGGGTGCTGATCACGAATTTCATGCTAATTTTGATCACAGACGATGTCTTTATGCATTTAGGCCAGGTCGGGTCAGGTCAGGTTAGATCAACCATTAGGCGTCCTGCCGGCCATTCATAGTAGGTGTCACCTACTACTGATAGCTTAGTAACATGGTACGAAGGCACCAGAACTACTTCGTAAATATTTAAATGGTTGCTAAATTCGAAATCAGCACCAAAAAGTACCATAGAAACAAGTAAAACCCGAAAAAGTGAACCAAGGTCATCAAAGGTCAATGACCTTGACTTGACCTTCACGTGACCTTGTCACCCACCATAATGCATGGCACCAACATCATTTCACATATTTGAGCGTTTAAAACCACAAAAAGACTGGAAACCGCGGATAATGTGAACTGGCATACGCCGAATCACGATTCCGGCCAAACATGGTCTCGAGAAATATGCCACAGGTCAAAGGTCAGTTGGGTCAGAGTCATGAAAGTTTTAGGTTAGATGTAAAATTGATGATCTTGAGGGCAACGAAAGTTTCGTCGCGATCGGCCGCTTTTTGCGCGAGTAATTTGCGGAAAACCATGGGGTTTTATCCGACCCCTCCCCCTCCCCCTCCCCACAAGTGCAAGGGTTAACCAGTATAACGCCTTTTGGGGCGACTAACGGAGCGAGCGAGAGGGTGGGCCTTGCACGTGCGAAATTGCGAGGGGGTACCTCCAACTGACTTGTGCACGGCACCCTGCTAACTGGTCTCTAGCGATGTGCCAAATTTGGGCACAATCGGCCCAGCCGTTATCGAGATCTGGAAGCGGCACCCTGCACGTGCGCACGTGCAAAATGGGTCCCAACTGGCGTATATTCGAATGCAGTATGAGTAGAGCATGGGTCCCGAAAAATTCTTCAGAAACTAGAGAAATTCTCGCGGGGCAGGACGTCTGTCAAACTAGCAGCGAGCTGCGAGCAGCGAGTCCAGCAGCGAGAAACGGGCCATCCCGATTTAGCTGAAAATTTGCTCACAGAGCTTTCTCAGCACGCTGATTCCGAAAATCATGGTCTCTAGGGTGGGAATCTTTACCGTTCTCGAGATAGAACCCTCTAAAGTTTTCGACACCCATGACCGCGCCATCCCGATTTGGCTGAAAATTGGCTCACAGAGCCTTCTCAGCACGCTGACTCCGAAAATCATGGTCTCTAGAGTGGGAATCTTTACCGTTCTCGAGATAGAACCCTCTATAGTTCTTACCACCCATGACCGGGCCATCCCGATTTGGCTGAAAATTTGCTCACAGAGCCTTCTTAGCACGCTGATTCCGAAAATCATGGTCTCTAGGGTGGGAATCTTTACCGTTCTCGAGATAGAACCCTCTAAAGCTCTTACCAACCATGAACGGGCCATCCCGATTTGGCTAAAAATTGGCTCACAGAGCCTTCTCAGCACGCTGATTCCGAAAATCATGGTCTCTAGGGTGGGAATCTTTACCGTTCTCGAGATAGAACCCTCTAAAGTTTTCGGCACCAAAGACCGGGCCATCCCGATTTGACTGAAAATTGGCCCACAGAGCCTTCTCAGCAAGCTGATTCCGAAAATCATGGTCTCTAGGGTGAGAACTTTACCGTTCTCGAGATAGAACCCTCTAAATTTCTTACCACCCATGACCGGGCCATCCCGATTTGGCTGAAAATTTGCTAACAGATCCTTCTCAGTTCTCAGCACGCTGATTCCGAAAATCATGGTCTCTAGGGTGGGAATCTTAGCCGTTCTCGAGATAGAAACCTCTAAAATTTTCGACACCCATGACCGCGCCATCCCGATTTGGCTGAAAATTGGCTCACAGAGCCTTCTCAGCACGCTGATTCCGAAAATCATGGTCTCTAGGGTGGGAATCTTTACCGTTCTCGAGATAGAACCCTCTAAAATTCTTACCACCCATGACCGGGCCATCCCGATGTGGCTGAAAATTTGCTCACAGAGCCTTCTCAGCACGCTGATTCCGAAAATCATGGTCTCTAGGGTGGGAATCTTCACCGTTCCCGAGATAGAACGCTCTAAAGTTTTCGACATCAAAGACCGGGCCATCCTGATTTGGCTGAAATATTGCTCACAGAGCCTTCTAAGCACGCTGATTCGAAAATAATAGTCTCTAGGGTGGGAATCTTTACCCTTCTCGAGATAGAACCCTCTAAAGTTTTCGACACCCATGACCAGGCCATCCTGATTTGGTTGAAAATTTTCTCACAGAGCCTTCTCAGCACGCTGCGGCTGATTCCGAAAATCATGGTCTGTCAAATCGACCGGGCCATCCCAGTCAAATCGGGATGGCCCGGTCATGGGTGGTAAGAGCTTTAGAGGGTTCTATCTCGAGAACGGTAAAGATTCCCACCCTAGAGACCATGATTTTCGGAATCAGCGTGCTGAGAAGGCTCTGTGAGCAAATTTTCAGCCAAATCGGGATGGCCCGGTCATGGGTGGTAAGAACTTTAGAGGGTTCTATCTCGAGAACGGTTAAGATTCCCACCTTAGAGACCATGATTTTCGGAATCAGCGTGCTGAGAAGGCTCTGTGAGCCAATTTTTAGCCAAATCGGGATGGCCCAGTGATGGGTGGTAAGAGCTTTAGAGGGTTCTATCTCGAGAACGGTAAAGATTCCCACCCTAGAGACCATGATTTTCGGAATCAGCGTGCTGAGAAGGCTCTGTGAGCAAATTTTCAGC